TGATTCAGTTATTTTACAGTGGTATGCCTGTGGTGCGGATTGACGGACGGACGTAGGTCATGTGACTGCAAGTCACTACCAAAATTTCTCCGAAGCACAGATAACCAAATTTTCTTACCCATGGTACGCGGTGCTCCGTTCGAGCGCTTCTCGCGCGAGAGAACTCCGCTAATACTGGTAATAAACAAAAAAAGAAAACATCCGATCACAATTTCATACCCCACCACCTTCAATAAAAGTCCAACCAGAATGCCTCCTGGAAGCAACATTCACAAACATTTCTTCTCCTCCCAGCTACATTATACAAGAAGATAAACGGCGTAAAAGTACCCCTAAAGGAATGTTTATTCTCTTACCACTCTCGGTCACGCACGCCACAAGCTTGATCACGTGGGGATGAGGTTTCAGTTTTTTCATCAACTCAAGTTCTGAAAGAAGATCCTTTCTGTCTGAATCCGGTGCATTCCCTATATACAGAGAAAGTAAACTAAGATAGTCCATAATGTGTACTAAAGAAATTGTTCGTTGAAAACGAGGCGCCACAGTTAACTAGATTAAATGATGTCTACCGTGGCCCACATTATAGAACGATGTTTATCAGAAAATATGGGAAATTAAAATAAATTCAAAATAGTTATCGATATCCTTCATTGCTTGCTCTCAAAAGTTACTTGCTGCAACTTTTCAAAATGCTGTAGCATGCACGTGAGACAAACGAGACTGTTGTGTATTCGTAATCCATTGTTTCGGTATAAATTTACCAAATGGTGTAAACTTAGATCAAAAACTACTACCTCACCTTTCAGCATTTTTGCCGCCACTGTGATAATTTCCTGATTGTCTTTCATGTTCCGCAACGTCGCCTTTGCAACTTCAGAGAAGGCGCCTTTGCCGATTACTTTAATAACCTCCACATGTTCTCTACTGATCTCCCAGCTTCTTCGCGAGAGACGAAGAGGCATGTAATCTTCCCCTCCCGGAATCTCGTTAGTAAAATTGTCAGCTTGCTCTGCTGCGCTTGATGGTTGTTCTGTTGGCTCTACAGCTTGTACGAGTTTTTGCTAACAACAGTTGTTAGGGAAATATTATTTGCTTTTCTTTAACGAATTTAATACCTGCCCGGAAGTAGGCGAAACATTGGAGACCTTTTCTTTTATTGCCGCGCGAAAATTAAAACCCACGGGGGCCTCGAGCTTGAATTAAGAGGGTACGGAAAAAATCAGAGGAAATGGCCTTAAACCGGCTACTAGCATCCAATGTGTTTTAGATCTTTTAATTTTGAATACAGCACACAACGTTTCAAAAAAAGGACCAAATTTAAACTTAGCATTAATTAAAATATAGAAGGGTATAATGTTTTAAGAAAGCAGACTGGAAGAGAAAAGGAAAAAACAAGAGAGTCAATAACAGTATTAAATCTTTAAAGTTTAGCGCTTTTAAACGCTTAAGAGCTTTAATTTCATGGATGTCAATTATCTTTTTATTTTAACCTACACGATGATCACCTACCAATGGAATGGTTTCTCCGCCCTCCTGTTCTCTAAAATAAAAGTTTGAATATGGTAGTTAAATCATTTTTTTTGGAATGTTCTCTTGTTTGTACTGGTGTGATAGTTAGAGTTAGGATAAACCAGTACGAATGTTTCCATCAAGCTTTTCAGAAAGCTTGATGGAAGCAACTCCCACTTCATAAAAGTCTTTCAGAGAGCTTTTATGAACTGAGCGTTTGGTGTAAAACAACGAAAATGCGCGAGATGTTGTATATTATTGGTAGAAAACGAGTTAAAATGCGATGTTGCACGCCTGTTCAACTACGAATCAAACCGCTCTTAAACAAGTCACGCTGTTACAGGTTTTAGAAAGTAGTTCTATGACTCCTTTTTGCAAAAACGTTTTGCAACCTGCAACATCCTGATTTAGACATGTTTTTTTGTGGGTAGAAAAAGGCGCAACTTAGCTTTTGGACTCGTTTTGAAGCAATTTAGCAAAAAAAAAAAGAGAGAGAGAGAGGGAGAGAGAGTTAGTCCGCAGTTTGTGTGATATTTGGTTTTCTCAGTAAAAAAAAGGAGCTTCAAAGTCAGCGGTATTTTAACAGCATTAAATGCATTTATTCATTCTAATAGCTTTTGTTTAAAGTGGCTTCATTTTCTGCATTGAACTATGACAAACTTTGTTTCAAAACTTTTGCGGTTTTAACATAGTTAAAAGATTGGAATGGTTATGAAACCCGTCAGACTCCTTTGTTATGTGTTTTTATGGACCCATGACGGTGCACAACGTTCAATAGCATTCCATCATTTTTATCTTACTAACCAATAAAAACGTTGCATTAACTTATTCAGTCGCAATCTGCCAACTGAAAACAAAGGATAGTGCACCTTCAGGGAGCTTCGAACATAAACTGTAGCACCGTTGTTTTTGTGTTTGATGGTTGTTGTCTGTCATAACCAGTCAAGGCAACAGGTACGAATCTTTGAGAATACCGATTGCCAATCGTCACGTCGTACTGTATGTAAAAAAAGTTAACTCCTAAGCCTTGTATGCACTATAATTTGCCCCAAGCCTTGCACAGCAGTCGAATGACTTATCCATAGACACATTTTGGAAATTAAAAGTGTCCTAGAGCAATTTGGGCTCATCTTCATAGCCCGGGGGGGGGGGGTACTCGCAGAAAAATTGGGTGGGGGTGTGCGGCCCGCATCCCAAAACCCTTACCCTATTTATGACCAAAATCTGCGATTTTCCCTACCCTATTTATGACCAAACCAAAAATTTGATACCCTATTTATGACCTGACCCTTAAATCAATACCCTGTTTCAGACCTGCCTTATAATTATTTCCCTAGTTCAGACCAATGTTAAAGGCAATGTTTATTTGCTTTTATTAGGTTAGGGGGACATGATAAGGAAGTAGCTTCTTCTAAAAAAGTGCATTCAAGACTACAGTGTAAAAATCGTTACCCTATTTATGACCAAAATGGCGGCAAAATAGCCAAAATCGATACCCAATTTATGACCAAAACGGCTGAAAAACCCTACCCTTTGGGGCCGCACATACCTATATAGCCCATATTAGGGAGTACCCCCCCCGGGCTTCATAGGCATGGCTTTATAGCCTGCGAATACAGCCATCCCTCACAGAAATCCCTCACTGATGACGTAAAATCTATTTAGAATCTGGTCAGGAGCTCTAACTAGTTGACGAAGTAATTGTGCTCTTTTCAGCTATTGTTTACGAATGCAGACTACCCGCGTGCAGTGGGAATTTTCGGTGTTGGCCGAAGGCCGACACACCTTCGCACTCAGGGTAACGAATGACAGACAAAAAAAAAACAGGTCGCAAAGGTCAAATGTAAACATAATGGGATTACCAACAGAAATGTCGAATCATTTGATATTATTGCCAAATATTTCTCAATTTTATGTAAATGCACACCTTACATCAAAATAATGTCCAATAAATACACTACGGAGGAGAACTTTACGAAGCTTAAAGTAGTGGAAATTCGTGTCAAAGTAATGGGTTTTTTTTTTTGTACCCAGGACTGTACTGGTTTTTACTGCTCACTAGGGAGTTAACAAACACTTCTTATTTAAAATATTAACATAAAAATGGATACTTACTGATTTGAATGTAACAAGCCTGAAATAAACAGCACTTTTCTTAGAAAGTTACCTTCTTCAAACAATTTTAACAAATGCAGTCTTTCGCCAATGATGCGAAAAGTTAAGTACCGTCCCACCCCGGGCCCCGCCGCATCCAATGCTGGTCTTTCTGTCATAGTTCTCTCACAAGAAGGTTAAAGACGTGACATTGTCTTACAATGATCCTTTTTGGGGTATTCCGGTTCTTTTGGAAGTAAAGAGCCCTAAATTCGATTTTGAGACGACATAAAGGCGATATGGTGTCGGTAAGTTGGGTTAGGTTATTATCATCCCAAAAGGGTCATTTGGTTCACGGTGAGAACATAAGTGTATGTAGACAAATATCAATAATTTTAAGATACATACGCGTCCTTTTTTTCTACACCACTAAACTGGTTTGCGCTATGCACTTATTTTTAGCTTTTGTCTCCCCCAAAAAAAGAAATATGAAGTGAAGGTACGTACTATAATATATATAAAAAAAGTTCAAATGCGGTCGTCCGTTGAAAGAAGAAAGTTGGAACGACGCATGGTTTGTTATATAAAATCCAGCATAAATCTGTTACTTCGTTTTCTGAAGGAAACGCGCTGGACTTCGCAACTTGCATGCAATGTTTTATGTTTGTCTGTGAAAAATTAAAAACACTTTTCTAGCTCTCGAATTGGATCCAACAGAGCGCTAGTAGCGGGAGGAAAGAAGAGCTGAACTTTGAATATCTACAAGAAGGCTACAATCAGTTATCAAAGTAAGTCCCTGGCGGCTTTATAACGTCTATAACCAGCAAGAAGAAGTCTTCAAACCAAAAATCATCGTCAACAATCTGGTCGTTGATAAAGCGTAACCCGGCTGCGTAGTAGGCGTTTGAGGTCAAACAGCAGATAACAAGCCACGGGCAGCAGGATATTTCCTTTCTTTCTTCTAGTGAGCAAAACAAGCCGTTTAGTTGAGAGATGACACTTCTCAAAACCAGTCAGTAAACCTCATCTAGCTGACGGGTCTTTTTCTTCATACGGTTCTTTTAACTGTCTTCTTCTATTCTCCTTTCAAGCTGAAATTGATGCCTTCATTAACAACATATTTTTATATGATTACTGAAAGATCGATTAAGTTACTCAGTAGCGTGATGTTGATTTCAACCAATCGGATTAAGGTATTAAGGCTGTGATTGACATGTTTTGAAGACTGACCAATCAGTATTTTAACACTTTCCCGGTGGATGTTAAAAAAAAAAAAGAGAAATATAATGGTCTGCTGGAAGGCGTTTCTTTCCCTCCCTCCTCCCGCGCCCCTTGCGTTTCTCTCGCGCCTAGGATTCCCTTTCCCTTCCCTTTCAAACGCCTGCCACGCAAGTTATTTCCCAGCTTTCCTGCTGATCTCTTTGTACTGTGTTTTCACAGAATGTATACAGTGAAAATGGATTTTAAAATTAAATCAAATTAATCAAATTCAATTGCAATTGTTCCAATGGAAGTAATGCCAAAACTAAAATCAAAAGCTGAATTGTTGACAATAGTTAGGGAATAAGCCCAACAAAATCTAATCAAAGCTTTCTTCTTAAAAAGACGAATGAATGCAAATTTAATTACGATTTGTAGTACCTCCCAATACTGAGATTCTCTTCATCTTTTCCTCTTGTTTTTTACTTTCACCACATTTGTTTGTGGCAGTGACCACAAATTCATAATCTCGGCCCATCTTTAAATCGACAGCAACTTCACGAACTGAGACACTAGTTATATCCTGTACTTTAGCCCATTCGTGCGACGTGTTTCCATCATTTACAATTCTTCGGTACACAGTGTACTTTGTGATGGGCACACCACTATTCTGTGACTCCTCCCACTGTAGATTCACTTTCACATTTTTTGTCTCAACAGGTAAGTCCTTTATTAAGGCGGCCTCTGGAATACCTTAAAGTATAGAGAAATAGTATGATAAGTAAAACTGTTCACCGTGCACACTTCCCCCGCAAAATTACCTCTGTTAGGATGTTTTAGCAGAACATGATTAAAGCGAATTTGACGCCACAATACTAATCCTCCAAAAAAGAAACAAAACATCTATTGTGATCATGCGAATAACATTTCCGAAATGTTTTCAGTTTCATCTTCCTTTTGTTATTTATTTTGAGAGTGCATCACGTTTTAGATATGAATATTATTAAAACAAGCGTTTACCAAACGTTGAATTAGAACTGTCCAAAAAATGCTGTGTATTAAAGGTCGTGACAAGCAAAAACGTAACATTATTAAACAACTAACCTATCTGCCCTACATAGACCGTCTTGCAAGTCAGGCCGAACCCATTATCAGCTGTGCAGTTATAGAGTCCAAAATCTACACTCGAATTCATTGTCAAGAGAACGGTGCTCTCAGTAGCTTTGACCACATTAAAGTTAGTTCCATCAGGCTTGTACCAGGTGAGCGTTGGTATTGGAAAAGCATCTGACTTGCAAGTTAACGTTACAGTGTGCCCAATGCAAGACATTGACGTGGACGAAGTAAGACCTTGTATGACGGCTGGATCTGTCAATTATCAACGGAAAAAAAAACTATTATAATCACATCATCAATCATTCTTACCACCTATAAGGGTTTTGAACTATGCTAAAATGCCATTTATTATTTCATAATTTATATTTATTTGTATATTATATTTTTTAACATGCAAATAAGGTATTCAAGCGGGCATAAAAATTCGCCTCTCATAAAATAAAAGTAAAGAAATAGGCACGAATTGTAACTTTTTATTTATTCGGGAGTCGTCGCATCGTCGCACTGGCACACTGCATGTAAGGCAAGAAAGAGATCCACACAGGAAGGCTTCATCATATTTTATGTAAATGTTAATAGAGACTTCAGCAACCGTCGTGTCTGTTATATAATTATATCTGCTCTAGTGTCAAGTATGTAGAAACAAGAAAGGATTTAAACTTCTCTTGATAGATAAACATGCTTTCGCCCGCTCTTCAATGTACATTTTTGCGCCATCATCCAAGCAATATTCAATGTTCTTCTCTCTTTCTTCTCCTTAGAACTTTCTTCTGATGTGCTGATCACGCCAGTGCTGAAACCCCGCCCCAACCTCCTGCTGTTAAAGTTTTCTTCAGTGGATGACGTAGTGGAGTATGGATGACCAAGTTAGTTTGCTTTAGTTGGTTGGGCGACTTTGGTTGTCGGGTTGTCAGACAACCATTAATGGTTTTAAGATATCTGAGACGATGCTGCCACCTGCAAAGGGTTAGGCCCTCTGGTCGACAAAATACGATCTCAAAGCACTTGTAATATACTTATATGATCTGGCAGTGACCACCCCTTGCCGGTGTTTATCTCCAAGCAGCAATCGAGTTGAGGTCACATACGATTGTGTTAAAACTTACAACGACAAAGTGTTTAGTATAAACTTTAAAACTAATAAAATCTATACCTAATAAACATTCACGTTTTGACACGCGAACAAGTCTAGGCTGGGATGACCTTTTACCAGAAGCAAGACAGTTAAATTGAACTACTAAAGTTTAAAACTGTAAACAAGAGCTGATTTACACCTCTCATCACAGACGATGAACTTAGAGACAAAGAAAACATATTCTCTCTGGCCAAGCGCCGAGCCATGTACTGATTTTTTTTTTTTGACCCAATCCATTTTATTTTTACGGTGTGGCGCTATTGTCGAATAGATTCCCCACCATATCAGAGCACTGATAACATCTTATAAAATCTTTAATAACGACATCAATTGCCTTATGTTCATCAAATACAACCGCTCGGAAAACATGTAAACCACATTTAACTTTACTCATTCAAGCCGGTGTTGCTGGTGTTAAATAGCACCACAGTCTGAATGGGGGTACCTCGGTAACACTTAACACTTTTTTGGGGCTCTCTAACTTGAAACAGTTAAATTTTAGGCATTTTGACACTAACAGTGAAAAATTAAATGTAGCAGTAAACTTTTTCCAAAAAGAAACAAAAAACGCTCCAAAAAGGCCAATATTCTATTTTGTATAGTACACCAAGGAGTTTTCGGCCATTTTTGGACAATTTCCGATTATTTCAGAAGATTTGCCAAGACCTCCAAAGATTGCGGAAGAAGGCTGGAGATTTTGAAGACAACCAAAGATGTCAGAAGACCACCGAGGATGTCTGTAGACTTTCTAAGATGTCAGAGGAGAAATACGAAAATTTTCGACATTATTTCTTTCTTATATTTATCACATATGAAAGATGTATTTTGTTTACATTGTGCAGATAATATTTCAATGAAAGCTCCTTAAGCCCAAGAAATTCTGTCAGATTTTTCTTGAAGGCTACCAAGCTGGATTGCTTTGAGCGGTCAAAAGTGAACCTGCTTCCACGCCTTTCATATGAAGAATCCGATCCGCTTCTTTGAAAGTTTACTGGAACTTAAACAACACCAGAGGGAAAACCTGTCGATGCCGCCGTGATGTTTCGACCTCGCCCTCGACGCTGGCCAAAAGATCGTGAGCAGTTGATAAGAAATTAGTCCCCAGTATTCCACAGGTTTCTCAGAATATTGTTGAGCATGGGTCGACAAAAGAGACTACTGCCCCTTTAAGCACAGGCTCAATAATGGATTTTCCAAGAGCAAATAAGAATAATTCTTATTGACAAAGCTAAAAGACGATAGGTGTTTTCACGAAAAAACCTCCGAACATTTTACAGTTTTTCCTCAGAAAACAGTAAACATTAAAAAAATTGGCCAATTTAACAGCAAACAAATTTATGCGCAAATAACGCAAAAACCTATTCACACCCTCGGGAGAGGCTGAAGAAAAAAAGAGAAAGTCAGACACATGTCTCGTACGGGTACCAATGCTATTCCACTCCTTTAATGTGTTTGAATCCTGAGGTTATATAGGTTAATAATTTGCGGATGCAATGCCGGTCGAGGAGAGCCAAGCAACAGCTACAATCAAATTTAAAAGAGAGGAGCAAAAACAAACATTAGTAAGGCACAAAAAGAAAGACCCTGAGCTAAAATAGCACGGGAAAATCAACATGCATATGGTTTTGATAAAAATTCAAAGCAGGTCAACATTGGAGAAGACAACGCGTGATGAAGTCCCAAGAAATGTCGTCATAGTATTTGGAATGTTGGGTTCTACTCAGTAATATACTCACATTTAACAGTAATTTCAAGTGCTTTTTCAACACTTCCTGCAGAATTGTTGGCTCTACATGTGTATACTCCTGCATCTGCCTTGCTTATCGAACTGAAAGTAAGGTAAGTCTTTTTTATTCTAGAACTCATAACTTGAGTGTTAAGGATATTGATCCACGCCACATCTGATTCTGGTGTCCCTGTTGCAATACAGCTTGCATTGGACTCCCTTGATTGTAACTTATATTTGCTGCCATCGGATGTGTGATTCTTTGTGGCTCTAAGAATTCGATAACAGCTTAAATGTTAACTCATTGCATGAGTTACCAGTTTCTGGCGGCAGCGAGGATGGCTTGTTGGCAGGGTAGGAACAAATTATGGTTCGAATTCTTCGTGATCAAGGTCTGGTTCGCAAATTTAGTTGACGGGGGGAGGAGAATTTGCGTAGTTTAGGTGCAATCAAATGACGTCAAAGTCATAAGAGAATTAAGACGTACTGAAAAAAATTATATTTCATTACATTAAAAAGTAATTTGCATGAAAGCATGCATATTTTTTCAAATGCTTAATAATGACTCCCAGCCGATGTCATAGAACATGAAATAACGTTTTCTGCGCATTTTGATATTGATCATAGTATCTATTGAACATGACGTCTATTCTGTAGCTACACAATTTTTTTAATACATACTAAAACAGTGGATAGTGTTTTCCCGTGCTTTGATTGGCTACTCAGTTCTTTGTTTATAAATGAACATTGAGTCTTCCGTTACCTTCTTTAGCTGACATGTTCATAAATAAGCTTAACACTAAGGCCCCGTCCACACGCAATCCATCCGCAAATTTTTGAATGCGCAAAATTTTCTTTGAAGAATAAAAAATTTCCACGTTTACACGTATCCGTATTCAACTCGAATTTGTCCGTCCTCACGGATCCAGATGAACTCGCAGTTCATTAGCTAATTTGGAAAGCGATCTTCGGCTTATGACAAAATTTTATCTCATTTTATCGCTCGTTTAACTTCTTTACGGCATCAAATTCATCCGTCCGCCAATGAGGAGAAGCTTCAAAATGTACAGTAATCATTGCTAGGTTTAACTGCAGACAAGTTATAAGACTTAAAACTGAAGTCCAAAAAGAAAAGAAGCAATAACATTGCGCTCAGCACCGTCTTGAATATTCACGGCAGACAACTGGGCTCTATCTTGTGAAGTCACTAGATAAAAAATTATATATATACATATTTCCAGATAATTTAGCTAACACTCGATTCCGCATTCAAAAACGTTGGGGATTGGTATGTCGGATACACCGGATTCGAGCTGTGGGCGGAAACCTCATCTGGAAAGAAAAACTTGCGGATTCAAAAATATCCGGATACGTGTGAACGGGCTCTAAATTAAATGGGAGTTTAAACAGAATGGTTACAAAAACAGAAAAATCGGCAATTCCTGGTCATTCTTTTGGAAGAAATTTCCCCGCAAAAGCTAATCAATTGCCTTCAACAGTTTTATTTGCATGTGTCGGCGAGAAAACGTGAAGGCCGTTTGATCATTGCGAGCCAAAATTGTAATCGTTGGTAGCAATAATAATCATTGGTTTCATCGTTTTTGTGCTCATTTATCTCACTGTTTTAGTACGTACTAAAACAATTATTTAAGCAGGCCGCTCGGGAAATCTTCACCACTAGCCACCTCCACTTCGGTGAATAATTTTTATTCATCTACAAAAACTATTTTGTTAAACATCACTGAAAAATTCTACCTCCACAAAACTGGAGCCCCAACTCGAAAATATATGTATGAAAAATGTGTACATCACCTTCGACAATCAGTTTGGCATAATCAAATTGATCACTATCTCGCGCATTGTTTGCATACAATTGACGCCCATAAGTGTCTGTATCATTCAGCGTAATGCCACTGAGACTGAAGATGACTTGACCAGAGGATGAGTTACCAGTACGGCTTCCACTCACACGTCCAGCATAACTTTGATGTACATATCCCGTTTTTCCCAAGGCTTTTAGAACTAATATTTTCCCATTTGTCTCTATTGCGGCTGCATTAGTTGTCTTGAAACCAAATTCAATGCTCGCAACGTCTCCTGAGAATCTCCAGGTAAAGTTGACAGACGAATTGATCAAGCTTCTTACAGTCCGACCTTGATATGGTAAAATTAACTGTATTTTTCCAACTGCGTACAAGAACCAAAATATGGAAGTAAATTCTTGGAAGTATTTTCGTTTGGTGACTCAGACCTCGGGTCAATTAATAAAGATTTGCAAGTGTAATTTACAAGTGTAGCCATTGTTTTATGAGGCCTACGTAATAAAAATTTACACTTGTAATTTACAAGTGTAGTCATTGGCTGCGGCAACATCTACGACGTAACTAAGGGCCTGTTTACATGGAGTGGGGGACCCCGGTCTAGTGGGGTTGGTTTCTTTTGTTTTCACGCTCTGGGGGACACAAAACAAAAGAAACCTACCCCACTAAACCGGGGTCCCCCACTCCATATAAACAGGGTCTAAGGGCCTGTTTACATGGAGGTTGGGCACCCCACGAAGATGAGGTAACCCGCTTAGGTGGGGTAACCCTCCTGTCCATATAATCTCTCATTTTAATTTGATCACGTTTACATGATAGGTGAGGTGACCTGCCGCATTTTACCTCACCTATCTGGGGTTCCCCACCTCCATGTAAACAGGCCCTAAAGTCAAACTTAAGTTAGTGTCAAGTTACGTGACGTCATACCTAACTGTAGTTAATGCTTTCGGTCGACATTGCGGTCACACCACGCAGTTAACAACAGTTAGTTCTAATTTGCCTATGTAAATTTTTTGTTTGTTGTTTTTGGTTTCCCCCTCGCTTCACTTTCTGATTGGTTGTTCGTTTGTAAACTTAAGACTAACCCACGAACCCTGCTGGGGTATAACTATAGTTAGTCAGTATTGTTTTGGATCACTGAGGCGTAAATTTTCTAACTATAGTTAGAGGGAACAGAGAAGCGGTCTCATTACCGAAATAGCTATAGTTATCACCGTCTTAACGTTAACTATAGTTAGTAGCCCAGATGTGACGGCAGCCATTGTTTAAGAGTCTGAAAATAATAGCTACACTGTCTTACGCTTGTCAAAGTTTTATTAAGGGGCCGTCGGCATATTCAATTTTTCCCCGCTTAACGTCAACTGGACGTTTAGTGGGGAGAGGGGTAAGGCAGTGAACGTTGGTGTGGGGCATTTTTGGACAAAAGCAAACTGATGCATTTTCATGTGTGAAGCAGCGCGCGTGACTTTATTTAAGAGAAAGCAGGACCAATTAAAGAAGTGAAAGTAAATTGTGATCTTTTATAAAACTCTGCTCTTAAAGTTAACAACCAGCAAATTGTATATTTTGCATCAGTGATTTTTTAAACTCTATCCTAAATCACCAAAAAAATTTTACAATACCAAAAATTATGGTTAGTCATGCTGGTATTGTGAATACGTTTGTCAGAAAACAACTGGAATCCGAATACATACTTTCAACGTCAGCGTTCTTTTTTGAGAATCCGTTCAGTACGAATTAGATCCTGTGAATGCCACGTTTTTGAACTGTTTGAGTTCGAGTATATTTTTTTGGAAAATAGCAGAGTTTACTTTATTGACGGACTGCTTTCAGTGGAGTAATATACCAATGATACTTGGTTCTGTTTTTCTCGACGTCGCAGTGATTCGGCACGATCGAACAATTATGTGCGATCAATGTGTGTTACCCTAAGATCAACACAAAGACATCAAAAACAGCGTCCCTTTTGTTCTTTTAGGGGCTAAATTAAAAAATCGGTAGTGACAGACAAGTCTAATTGTTAATGACATTGAAACAGTCTTGGCCTTTATGTTTGGTCTAGAGTCTTTTGTAGGTCGTTTATAATACAACTTTGATTTATTTTGTTGAGTACGACAATATTCTGTTGTTGAATTTTTGTTTGTGCTCACTATTTTTATGAATGGCATGCGTTTTTACTTCAAAACTACAAGTAAATTTGTCTTAACACTTTTATTCTTGAGGAAGAAATTGAGGGAATTTGACCTACAATATTGTAGCATAAACAGAGAGGAAACGTTCCGTAAATACTATCAAAATATCCCTTATCCAAACCCAATTCGCTTGTAAATGTCTCTGTAAATTTCGGAGCCTTGGACGTGACAGAGAAAGTGACGCGTAAAAAGCAATAGAATTTTGACAGTAATTTGCATAGCCTCAGCGCGCATGCTCTCCAGCTGACATAGCCCCTTTAAGTGACATGTGGAAGTAAAAGCCCAATAAGTAGCGGAACAATGCCAAACTCAGGATTTGGTCCACACCACTCCAATAAATCCTAAAATTGGGAAGGGAGGTCAGGAAAGGTCCACGCTTCACCAAGTGACAAGGACCGACTGACAAATTATACGACTGACATAAGTATCTTTCGCATGCCATCCTAAGCATCAGTGATACGTCAAAAATTAATAGGCTATGTTATTTAAAGGCATATACGAACTTATGCGTTAACGATTGTCGTGTACATGTACATCGTTTGTGTGAGGACGAAAAGCCGTAAATGCATAATAAGGTTTATATGCTGTTACTCGGCCTAGACAGACTCGATAGATAGCCTAAATAAAACATACTGTAATAATATACACATACCTCCAAACGGAAGAAACATCAGTACGAGTAGAATAAAATCCGTAAAGCTTCCAAACCAACATTTGATATACATCGCGAATCTGATATTCGTTGCAAACGTGGCCAGTGAAGAATTATTTGCCAGTAACTCCGACTCACAAAAGGCGAAGCTGTACCGACGCAGATTGGAATCAAATTCCAGCGGAAGCATAAAGGTCAGTGCAACTAAAATAGCATCGTTAGCGGAAGTCAGCTGTCACATCATTAATTACTCATTGTTTTAAAGACGGAAGGAAATAGGTTAATTTTAGGCCCGTCAGTGAAATAAATGACGGTTAAGTTTCCAGTTGTCTCCATTTATCATATCAAACACTATTTTTAAGACGGAATCCATTTGGAATTTGAGTAATTTTAATTTTCAATGGACAAAACCTTGTACCAGAAGATTTTCGAGGGCTATAAATGTAATAACTTAATATATGAAATAAATCCAAAGAAAATGTTCGTATGGGAGTCCCAGAATAAACTTCAAAAGCTTCAAGTTTCACAAAATGAAATCTTCGGCATGACGAGTTCTCTAAATTCCTGTGAAATTTGAACTTCCTTTCTCGTGTTTCCATAAGAAATTGTGTTTGGTGTCATCACGCATAACTAATTACATCTATAGCCCCTCAAAAGTGTATCCCTCAATTTTAACCCATTTTGTCAAATAGGTTTTAAATAGAATGAAAAGCGTATTTCAATGTATTTTTGGACTGACGGTTTTTTAAACTGGTAAGAATTGGTATTGAAACAATATTTGAAGTATTTCAAATTTCGTTTAAAATATACAGAAAATTAGTGTTTTAAATACTAAAGTAGAAAAGCAACAATTTTAAAAGTACACCATAAAAAGAAAGCATGAATGTGAAAAAAAGCTACTGGTGACAAGGAAAAAAATCTGGAGTACACTGTTAAATTAAAAGTGCAAAAAATCGAATGTAAGAGCATAAATATAGTTTGAAAACAGGATGAAACTACCACAAAAAGCATGAATGCACTACACCGTTTCTTAAAAAAAGCTCAAAAAGAAAGATTTGCGTGAGCGATTTTCAAAACATTCAACTAAAATTCCGTCAAGGAATTCAGTTCAACAGAAATGTTGAAATCATAACTTACAATTACATTGTAGTAAATTCACTTTACTACAAAGAACTTACAACACTAGGCCTGAAAATCAACTGTTCAGTGCCTAAGCTTTAGAAGAACTACATTAGAAAAATACCGTCAGATTCAAGCGAAGCGAACGATTACAGCCTGAATTAGTGTGAGGTCAATCATATAGAGAGAGCCTGATAAACTATGTAAACTAATATTGCATAGCGCCCTAGTGATCCTAGTATGCTAATGTTAACTCCCCTTCGTTTCGTTCCGATAAAGCGTAGGCTTACATGTTTCAGTAACATGTTATGCTAAAAGAAGAATTTGTTTATCACACTAGTAACGCTTGATCCCGAACACGCATGGAAGACGTCATAGTCCTGGAACAGTGGGCCGCCATCCGTACACCGACGACCAGATCCCCTCAAAGTAAATACTAGTCGCTGAGCAGATATAACCATTTACCATTACGTCTTCCAGTCACCCGCCCAGAATAACTTTGATATAAATATACTCTGTTTTTCCAACGGTATTTAGAAGTGATATTTTCCCATTTTTTTTTCTACCATGGCTGCATTAGTTCTCTTGAAATCAACTGAACTCAATTCCCGAAATGACGTCTTCTGAGAATCTCCAGGTAAATTTTACAGAAGAACCAATCAAGCCTCTTATTGTCCGTCCTTGATATTTCAAAATTAAACTGTATTTTGCTAACTGCGTTCAAGAAGCAAAGGATATCAAAACGTTTGCCTACGGAGGCCAAAAAAGTCAGACGTAAAAAAGGATAATTTGAAGCAAGAACGCTTAAATATATATGTATTGAAAATTATTCGTCTTATGCTTAAGAAGCCCAAATAGCTTTACTGACTTGTTAAATGTGGACAATGTCACACATTTATGAAATAAAATTGTTGTAGAATCCTTCTTCCGGCAGCGGCAATTTTGCAAAATTGGGCAGATGGTCATGAAAACCATTTTTTAATAGTCATTGCCTTTTTGTCAATTTGTGCTGAATCTTGTCTGAGGATAAGCAAAAACTTTTTGAAGATGTCGTAATGGTTAAAAAACCTTGTTTATTTAAGAATAGAATATGGATTTTATAGTTCTCCCCGTCATGTTGGCCTAATTTTTCCAAGAACTAAGAAGAATTTTATTACACTAACTAATAATAAACTCAATAAGGGTTATTTAAGGTTGAAACATGGGCCTGATATGCAAATGAAGATTGACATTGATATCTACCTACAATCTTTAGAAGTAACCGGACCTGCTAAGGGTTCATCTTTCGTCATTAGGGAGTTTTAGCCAGCACCGATGACGGCGACGGCAGTGAAGACGTCACTTTTAAAACGAATTAGCGTTTTTCAAACTTTTTCGCGTTTATTCCAATTCGCGGACAATGTCTAATGTAGGCTAATTTCCCTGGAGCTGATTTCTTGGGGACCGCACTCAAGTTTGAAAAGAGAAAGAAAATTTCGTCGTCGCCTGTTTACATCCTTCATAAAACGTGAAATTTGCCATTTTCACGTCGTAGTCGTGCGGTAACGACAAAAAAAAAATGTACAAAAAGCGTGATGCACGTCCAAACTTGTAACCTATTGCTGTTTTAACGTTCTCGTTGCCGTCGCCGTCGTCGCTGATAAAACTCCTTATTATTCCTCTACCGACGAAATGCGTGACGAAGCACACTGTGTATGAGGCTATTATATTTTAAGCCGTTGTATTAAATGTAGGTATTTACCATGTGCAAGCGTTAAAGTGTTGCCCGTTCTCTGTATTTTAATTTGTTCAAGTGTAAGATCAATGTAACTCGCCCTTGTTCACTTACCTAAAAGAGGAATTAGCAACATAACGAGGCAGAAACCAAATTCTGTAGGTTGAGTTCTAAGTGAGTTTAAAAATCGCATAATGTCGAGTCTGGTATATTCTGTAGCAAACCCCTTTTTAGTAAGCGTGAAAAACCAAGCAATTTTAAAAGAAGCGGATATTTCCACTGATACAGCCGTAACTCGACAATCAGCTTTCAGTTTTGCACAGCAAATATATGGCCCGAAGGGGAGTGGAGGGTGTTAGATTTTCCTCGTTTTTTTTTCCCATAGGTATCGTTTAGCTAGTCAACGCTATCCTTCGTAGAGGTCTCTCTGCATTACTGAGTTAGACGGCTCGTTATTTATTATTTTTATCTATTTATTATTTTTTTATTTTTTGGAAGCATGTTTTTCGCCCTAAGCTTCAATAGATTGAGTACCGAGCCATCAGCTCTCTACTGCAGGAAACCAATAACCATGGCCAGGGAAAAAAAACACAGCGAGATAGATTCCGTCGGGGTTGGGGCAATGACATATCTCTGTAATGACAGTAATTATATGCAACATAATATACAGTTTACATTTAGGTTTGAGAAACTGTATATACTAGTTTCATGCAGCATTTAGGGAATCAAGTTTTCCATATCTGTGACTGACAAAATACTTTAGTATTTGCATTGCCTCATTTATTGCATTCCACAATTAACTTGTAGAGGCTATGAAAGGAGTAAACAATTTCTACAACATTATATTTTCAGGTTGTAATATCAGAGTGGTTAAACAGTCCTCAACTAACGTTGATTTTTTTTTTTACAAAAATAATTGTAACATATAAATAATAAATCAAGAATGAATAAGAAATGATGAGTTGTACTACAGTGTATATACTTACATTTTATTGCTAGTCTTAATTTCTTTTCTGCAGTTCCTGCAGAATTGTTCGCTCTGCATGTATACACTCCTGCATCTGATTTGGTGATTGTCTTAAAAGTTAACTCAGCTGTTTTATTACCATAACTCTTCACTTGTCCATGATGGATCCATCTCACGTCTGGTTCTGGTTTGGCTATGGCCTCACACCTGATATTAACAGCCTCCCTTTCATTGTAACTTAATTCGACGGAATTTGGAGAGATGATTATTGGCCTCTCTACAAATGTGAGGGTAATTGTTTAAGAGCATGTACTGGAGTATTACTTTCTAGTAATCTACATGTCACCTAACAGGCAGTAAAAAAAGAAACAAATGTAATGTATCGCAACGCGAAGTATCTCCCGTTTTAAATAGAGAGATTCAGAATCAAGTTTTAGCCAAACGGAAATTTGTACCAGGTGACCAAATTCTCCCTTTGCCTGTCGTTTACTGCTGGTATTATTTCAACCAAAAATAGTAGTTTTACGCCCGATTCATCCATAAGAATCAGTTGGCACAGTTTTTATCAGCTCATTTCCTATGTTGGAAATTGTTGGAAATTGTTGTTCCTATCAAGGCTGCCTGGACTGGACAATACCAAAGAGATGAGAGATGCAATGCTCAATCAGCTCGAGTGAAAAGATTTTATTAGGACAGCTCGGGATAATTCCCGGCTTAAGTAAGTAAATAAATTCCTATGTCGAGAAATTGTCAAATTGAATCTGACGTTTGCTGTTTGCCGTAAACATGGTTCTTGATCTCGTCGTGCTCTAATATTTCGAAATGTGATTCCTTCACGCATCACCTATGCGATCCGCAACATTTTGACATATACAGCTACTGAATTTATCAAGATATCGTTTATTAAAGCGCTTCTAAATCCTCTCTGGACAGATCGGACACCATGAACCTGATTTTTCCTGGTAGCGTACATGTTTTGCCGGTTAAACATAACTTAGTGAAATTTTTTTTTTGAATAATAACCATATATGGGAAAGTAGATATTTTAAAAAGGGCTTGGCTTAGAGAATTTTATTTGGTTTTGAAAACTCTACGCCGGAAGAATGCACTGACTTTTGACAACAAAGGCGAGGGAGACAAAGCTTGGGTTATCAAATGGATTATTTTTATCGCTAATCCTGGAACCACAATCTTTTCATCACCTTTAGCTATAAATAGTCAGCGAGATCGAGGTGGAGTATCAAAATCAACAGCATTGGCGTCTAATCCCCCAATCAATTGTAGTAAAAGCTCATTTGCCAAAAACAATCGTTCATTGTTATAATGTGAAAAATTGTGGCTCAGTTTTCAGCTTTAAAACCTAAAGGAATTTTAATACGAAAAAGTCTAGTTCTAGTGACTCCGAGCATAACTCAGGATGTGCGCATCTTCCACTTCAAGAGTGACGTGATCAAAGCTTGATTTGTCATCTGGATCTGTTGTGTCGGTAATCAAGCAGCCATACAACCTTCCATCAAGCTTGCTAATATTTCTAAGAGTAAAGATAACTTGACCTCCGCTTTGCCTGCCTGACACTCTTCCTGTATATGCTGCTGGCGGTTTAACTGGTAGTGGGTTGCATTTAAAAAAAGACACTAGCAACCCAGGCGGAGTATCAAAAGCATAAGGAGTGGCTGCTAATCCCCACTCAACCCTGGTAAACGATGATGAGAAGGCCCAAGTAAAGTTCACAGAACAACCAGCTGTTCCTCTAAGAACATTTCCGTTATATGAGGACGTGAAACTTTGATTTACTGTAAGAAAGGTTAAAAATTAGCTGTCATCATACTGAAAGAACAACTGCCAATGCAAGACAAATTTGTAATTCTTGCTCTTATTATTCTGACCTCCTGCATTTTTGGTTATTATTAAAATGATTAGAAGGGGTAATTTAAAAGCGTATAAGATCCGCGTCTGTGCACAATTGTGCTTATTCTACATTATGGGGTAGGGAATGCATGGTCTTTTCTTTTACATATTTCAAAAATGGCGTAACGGCTTATGCTAGTCTCAGATAGTATAGAACGAATTTATTATCCGAATAACATGTAATTGTAATGTTTTTATGCAGGGGCTCATTGTTGAATATTTTACAAACTTTAAAAGAAAAGTATTCATTAACTATGAGTTAAGTGACCGACTTTTCATCTAACCACAGTCGCCGTATTTCCTTGTTTACTTCGAGTCTCGCAAGCAAGGTCGTCCAATTTATCCGATTAGATGACACGATGGAATACGTCCGGTTTAATGTCCACATGAGTCTGCTAATGGTGCAAAAACATACAAACTTATGATTTCGAGGCTGTTCACTAGAGAACAATATTTTTTCTGCAATTTTGTCGATCAACAGAATTTTGGCCCATAATCAACGGCCGTTCGTTTTATCATGAAACGAATTAAGTATGGAACGTTTGGAATAGAGCAAGTAGGGGTGACTGGGTATTTACAAGTTATTTATAAGACTGACCTACCATTCCCCGAATACACTCATGTTTCTTTCGCACGCCATCTTAATTTAGCGAGGTTGTAAAAGGCATAATGAGTCTTAGAACTTAGGCTATCTCTATACTACTCTGCTAAGTTAATAAGTCTTAAAACGGTTGTCGTGTACATTGTTCGCGTTGGACGGAAAGCCGTAAATCAGCATAGATTTGTATGTTTTACTCGACCTTAACAGACTCTTGTAGAGCGATGATAGCCTAAATAAAAGTTGTAATATATATACATACCTTCATGCGGAAGAAATAGCAGTAAGTGGAATACAATCCGTAAACCTTCCAAACAAACATTTAAAACGCATCTCATGTTAGTTGGAAGAGTAGCCAGTTGCAAATTATTCGCCAGTAAACGAAGGACACCTACTCCGACTCACAAAAAGCGAAAGTGACAGTGACGATCGAAGTGACAGTTTGGAATCAACTTTCAGCTGAAGCAAAAAGGTCATCAATAGAACTGCAATAACGTCTTTAGCGGAAGTCAAAAGCCACACCATGTCTTAATTATCGTGATTTGAGTTAATATTGACATTTTTCCCTTTATAATATAATTAGTTTCCTATATAACATATATAACGGAAAGAAACAGGTTCTATGTTTTAGGACCGTCTCAGGCGCATGTGGCTCAGAAGAGAACAATTGTCCCTAAAAAAATTGTAATAGGCTCTAAAGACAATAGATTTTTTCATTTGTCAAACAACAAGAATTTAGGAAAAACTGTTTGAATGCAGAGATCCACGCAACGCGCAAATAATACTGACAAGTTTCTCTTGCCGGATCTCTAATTAAAGATGATGTAGTCAGACGTCAGTTGATGTGTATAAAATGAAACAAAACTGCATGCGACGCTGGCACTACAGCAAAGAGCTGATTTATTATAGGCCACTAATATATGGCTAACAAAATTAGCCTTCCTCAGGGCCAGAGCTATACCGAGAGAAAATATTTTTTAAGGGCCGTTAAAAAATATTTTCTGTCCGTAAAGCTCTGGCCCTGAGGAAGGCTAATTATTGGCCTTCATAAAATAACTAAGATAGTATGCGCGCTCTGATTGACCGATAGGCGTGTTTGCATGAGAGTATGTAAACATGGTTGTGGCGTGAAGATGTTTTGCTTTTGGCGCGCTAATTACGCAATCACAAATTTGGAAACGTTTTTGAGTTGAAAACTCCACACATTTACTTTATTTATACCCATTCCCTCATCAGTTGAAACTTGGAAAATCTTCCGAAACATGCTGTGTCAATTTTTTTTTTCGCTTAAGCTAACATTGTAAGCGAGAAAAACCCATGTTAAACATGAAACAAAACTGAATGCAAGGCTGGCACTACGGCAAATGGCTGATTTATTATTTAAGCAATAGAAAACGTTTTCCGTGTTTGCATAGCCTTTTATAAACACGAGAGATTTTGGGGGAATTCGAGACAGTTATGCAAACCTGAGACGAAGTCGAAGGTTTGCATAACTGTCTCGAATGTGAATGTGTGTACTATACTGTATTTGTATTCTATTTCTCCATTTATGCTTTAGTAAAGCAGCTTTAAAAGATAACAGTTAGAGAATATAAATGGAGAAGGACAAGATATACAGTGGAACCTCTCCTTTAGAACACCTCTATTCAGTGGACACAAAATTTGGTCCCGATGGAAAGTTGAGACATAATCTTTGCGTTTGCTTTAGAAGGGACACCTCTGTTCAGGGGAAAAGGACGCTCTTTCTCAGGGTCCCGAAACCCGATTTTAACCTTCTTTCGGGGGACCGCTTGTTACTCAAAAAGTTACTGACCACAAAAAAAGGTTGATAAGCTCGACTGTTCACCAGTAAAATTGGCTACAACTTTTAAAATATGAACTATATTTCGCTCAAATCAATGTATTAAACTTGTGGCAATTCAACACACAACATCGCGGAGATCATTGCATAAATTAAATCATGATTTTTTAATTATTATCTGGCCGCTTTAAATAATGACTGCAGCAGATTCTCATGACAGGCACAATAAAAATATATATATTTTAGCAAAGCATCCATTCAGGGGACACTTGCCTTGCTCCCAAGGGTATCCCCTGAATATAGGTTACGTTCGACTGGAGTAGAATTTATTATAAGACTGTTTCAATTAGATCAAATTTTATAAATTTAAGAGGAAATATATAAGAGAGGAAACGGGAAACACACAAGTAATATAGAAGATACCAGGGTCTCTGTGTAAATAAAGTGATTAATACATGTACACTAGAAGTGACTGATATGAAACAAACCGGTATACTGATAAGGAGTTCTGGAATTCCTCATTTGCTATCAACTACCGATTTCTACACAGAGACAAACAAAATAGTTTTTCGAAAGTTTTTGATTTCAGATTTGATAACTTTTCTTCCTATTTCGACTGAAATGAGTCATTTAATTGAGATGTGTGAATGAGCAAATCTTATATATTTATTTCATCTAATTTTTCTTTAATTTTTTTAGCACTGAAAAATTTTTTCCGAGTCGCGCACATTGCCCCACTAGGGATTAACGATAAATTGAGCCAAAGAATGAATTCAAACTATTTCGAATCGCACAACAATAACCATAAACGCAAAATTAGGTACGTTTCCAAATAATACTTTTTTAACACGATTCCATTGCAGTTGACCCACGTGTCAATCCCCAAATTTCAGCGGACCTATGTAATCTTTAACTCCCTGCGCTACCGTCATTAGTAATTTCCCGAATTAATATACACCTATTTCAATTAAGGGTGCTTCAGAGAAGAATGATGCATGATGCATGATGCATGATGCATGATCCAGTTTCATAGCCCGCGTTGCATTATTAATTGTAGCAAGTCTTGTAAATTATTTGCCCCCGACGAGCCTAGAAACCTAGAAAGCAAACGTTCCTGACGCTTTTATGCTCAGCAGAACGTTAAGACAATGTATTTCAAAACACTGAATCCTAGGCTTTCAAATTTAAGACAGTGATTTGAAGTTAGGTTTTTCTCTGTGACCATATGCAAATACTGCAAATTTTCAAAGAGTTTGCTTGGCTCGTGCACGTGGGAATTTTGGATGGAGTAAAAAAAATCAAATTAAAGGCGTTTGTTGAACTACAACAAATAACTTAACATTACGTGTTTACCTATTTTTGAGGCATTTTTTTACAAAACTGAATAAAAAAAGAATAGCGTTGATTTGCTTTATTGAAATAACCAGCTTCTGGCCCACGCAAAAACGTAAGAGGTAAAACCCTTTTCATTTGATGTTGTTAAATGAAGAGGCTTCTAATTCTTTAGTATGAGATTTTATAAATGAAATTTTTCAGCTTGCTCATGCTTAAGAATTTTAGCAGGCATTTGACTTGAAAGCTCTCTTGAACGCCTTCTCACAAATGGTCTTCATTATTTTAATGAACGTGAACAAGACTAAACTTCCCGCTACAAAAGGGTTTGCCATAGTCACATAGTGCACTGCAGGCTATGAAACATGGTTCATGGGAGCAACCTTAATTGAAGTAGGTGTATACAGAATGAGTGTTTCTGGCGTTTTAAGCAATCTGATTGGTTCTCGGACTATGATGTGGTGAATATAAGCAAAACAAAATCGCTGTCGTAATCTCGGTTTTTTGCCGGGGTGTTTTGCCAAAGTTTTAGAGTGAGAACTATTTGAACATAAAAGAAAATCCTAGCGTTATGATTTTGAAGGTAAGAAAATACTTCAAAGAGTTAACAGCGTGATTTATTTTTTAAAGGTCGAAGCCATGTTTAAAGTCAACTGCAGAGGAGAACGAAACCGGATTGTGAACTCAGATCAGGATTTCCTAACAAGACTTTTTTTCCCTAGAAATCCAAGTTAAATTATATATATATATATATATATATATATATATATATATATATATATATATATTTGTATTCTGGGTAGAACGTATTCCGTAGAGCGCTCAATCCATTTAATTGAAGAGCATTGATTATTAATAATCACAGGAGTTCAGGCTTCAGGAGTAATCATTGATCGTTTATTGCGACAGTGCTGTTTCGTATGGTCCGAAATTGTAGGACCACACTCATCAGGCAACTTCAACGATTGACCGTTAAAATTAAAAGCTGGCAGTAAATATAGGGATGCGTTAAGAGATAGTATCTAGGTAACAGATGGATTGTGTCTTAGTTACGTTACTCTAGAGTTCTGAAGTACATATCTGTTTCTGTGGGGGCATGAACTTGCTAGTTCGTTTCGCCTGTTTAGGCTACAAAGCTCTTTTTTACAAATGATGATAAACTTTTCATAAAGACAAAGATTACATTTTTTGCTATGTTGCTATAAGCTTTACATTTCTTTAAAACTTTCCATTTTATCTGGAAAGGTTTGTTAGAGTCTTGTAAAGTCCAAATATATTTTGATAGTTCCGTTTCATTTCTTCTGTTTGAGCGTCGAAAGGAGGACTGATGGTTTCTGTAACGTTCCTTAAAGTTTGTTGCCAGTCCGACGTAAGTTTCATATATATATATATATATATATATATATATATATATATATATAACTATAAGTAGATTTAATGAAGACTTCATCTGCTATAAGAGTGCTCAATGGTAACACCAGAGCTGTAAATAGATAAAAGATGAAATGAACTTCTGGAGTCGGACTAGTTCAAAAACATTTAACATTGGTGTGTTGACAGAATCGTAAATTTCTATATTTCTTCTCAGATGAGGTACTAATTGAAACTTTCGACGATTCCTTTTAACCCGCTAATGCGATAGCTTTCAAAAGGATGGAAGGATAGAATCTCTGTATTGTCGTGTTGACAATACTGTAAAAAGTCTAACTTTTGCCTATCTCTTCTTGTTTACGGCTAGCATGTTCACTCATTGAATTAACATTAACCCGTCAAACGAACGCTAATGATTCCCTGTCTGATTCTGTTGAGATCAATTCGTGTGTATATACTAAAACAATTATTATTTTCAATCGGCCTAAGGAATATCTACTTCGTCGCGAAATATTCGCCACTATTCACCTCTATCTCAAAGAATAGTTGTCAAATATTAAGCTGATGATTTCTTGGCAGAATGGAAATTATAACTTTATCGTAATCAAATAATAAACTAGACGAATGAGTGTGTCATAGGATACTTACAGTTTACTAGCAGTATTAGTTGCTTTTCTGTAATCCCAGCGGAGTTGTTCGCTTTGCATGTATACGATCCTGCATCTGCTTTGTTGATTGAGCTAAAATTTAGTGTAGCTGTTTTAGAGCCAGAATTCTTCACTCTTCCATTATGAATCCAGCTGACATATAGGACTGGTTTACCACAGGTTTTACAGCTGATACTAACAGCCTCGCTTTCACGGTAAGTTGCCTTGCCTGATTCAGGATGAGTCATAATCGGTATCTCTGCAAAATGAGGCAAATTAAAAGGCCAAACTTTAGAAATAATATATTGCATTGCAGATCAGTACAAGGACAACGACGACAACAACGTTGCTTACTGAGCTGGCGTAAAATTTGTAATACTGTGATCTTTAGAAGAAAACTGTGTTGAAGAAATATTTTGTATTTTTTCTTGCCCCTTTTATCGGGACGATCTATGTTGGTGCCTCACTTTCCCATGCCCGTTGACGTGATGTAAGAGAACTGAACGAGCGATGCAAAACGAGCGATGCCTCTTGCTCCGCGGGCGCGAACACGTGCAGAATCTTTGCCGGCGGTGGCATTATCTAAGGTCAATCATTTTTCAAGATATGGGCCACGTCAAGAGTTTGAATTTGTTTAGCCAGATTATATATTTATCAAAAAGTAAATTCAAAAAGTCAGGAAACAACTGAAACTTTCACGGACTTTCAGATCTCACTGAAGTAAAACAACACATGAGGGGAGAAAGGAAGAAAATTGTAAGTAGATCTCAAGCCTCTAATTGAAGATGAGCAATAAAGAGCAGGCTTTTATCTCGGTATCCCAGCTACCCAGGCCAGCTTGGATGTCAGGTAATCATTTGTTGCCTTTGGGATTAATGTGTCGAGCTCTCGGCAAAGCCAGCCATCCCTCCAAGTTACCGGGCGAGGCCAGCTCAACCCCATTAAGCTTTCCTCATAAAGAGTATGACAATAGCTTGTTGATGTTTTACACTAGTGGCCTTCACGAAGATTATCGCAATTCTGATTTTAGTTTACAGAATGTCTGTTCACACTATGTTATTTTTTTTTCTTTTGAATTTAGTTGTTAAGGCTTTATTCACTTTACATAAATATGATCTACAAGCCGGTTTTCATGTAGAAAGGCGAGAAGTTTGAATCCTGACGTCTAGTTAGTTTTTTGAGCAAAACAGATCTACATCTGCATTATCCTTACTGGGCTCATCCTAGTCTATTTTACCGAGAGACATAACCTCATTGATTAAAATTTATGTATACAGTACATGTGTGTGCAACAGGATAATCAACCAGAATACACATCAGATGTTTTGGAAAGCTTAATTTAACATAATACAGGAGTTACTTGATGGTAGTAACTGATATTAAATGACCTTTGTACGTGCGAGGGTTAATAAAGCCTTTAGCCTCACTAGTTTTCTTTGGAATGCGTGGATCTGAATTACTTCATCAGTATGTAATGATGTTCACTAGTTGTTTTGTCCGTGAATGTAATGATTTCCAGCTTTTTTTTCTTTTCTAATGCTGGGCCCAGCTCTTAAGAGTCGTTTGCCGTAAAATTGTCATGGATAGTGATATGCAGATCAAAATTTTTAAAAAAAGCAAGAATTATAGCTGACATTAAAGCCTCAAAAATTATCGAGAGTGATACCTTTTTGAGATAACAAGAGTACTTGGATTCGAGCGTTCAAGTTCATGACATTGGTTATTTCGTCCATCGCTTTATTTTAATTACACTTGGGACTATGATTAGGTGTTGACCCAAATGGGCCTAGAGTCCAACATGGGCTGGCAAAGGTGAGCACGGATTTGGAACGGGGGTGGGGGGAACTCCCACTTATGATGGCCTATACGGGGAGGCTCCGCCCGAAAGGGGTACCTTTTTCAGGCTTCAGGTATATGAAAGGGTAGGCATTTCACTAGTTAAAGTATATCAAAGAGCGAGTGCGCTTATTGCAGCCTTAGCAGCATCTTTGTCGGTTCTTAAAGAAAAAAGAACTAAGTTTAAGAATTTAAGGGAAAAGTAGAAGGACTTAATTTTTCTGAAATTAATATAGCGAGGAGAAATCTCACCCCTTTAAGTATAAATGCTTGTAAAAGTAGAGGTGGAACCGGGGGTAGAGAGGGTGGATGGTAAAGTAGGTTAAAGATGGAGAGATGAGAGAGAACTTTGATGGAGCACATTGTCCAAGAGGATATAAATACAAAAAAAAAAGCAATCTTTGAAGACTTAATGAAACGTTATCAAAACAAGAAAAACAGAGAAATCTTGTCCAATAAACCTCTCCGGCAAAGGTGTGGACATGGTTCCTGACTGCTCAATCGTATTCTTCTCGACCCTTTGGCGTCAAGTTTTTTCACGTTTCTTGCGACAGGGGGAGCAAATCGGCTATATAAAGTTGAACTGAACATTCTGGTACTTTTAAGTCTCCTTAATTTTTTACAAAACCAGAGACATGTTTTAAACACTGTTTAAGTTAAAAAAAAAATTACGCAAGAATGAAATACTTTTCATACACGTCCCCAGGACTTTCCTCTTAGAAAATGGCAGGGAAGGGAAAGCTTTGGGGACGAGGTTGAATCCTGACTCCGTGTAGAAAGTTCTTTCTTTTATTCCCATTTATAATGCTCTTCAAACAATCACCAGAAAACTATCTTTTACAACACACGGATCAACCTTTATGTATAGTATTTTAAAGGTAAGAACTGATTAGGGCAAGATACACGGCTGTCAAAAAATAGAAATAAATAAGCTATCTTTGCAAGCTCAAATAAATTGGAAACGAGCATCAGAAAACATCGCAAGATAAATGTTAAATAGAGAAATTAGAATATCTCTGGACGTTTAGAAATTTTTTGCATGAAGAAGAAAAAAGAATGATATTTACATGATGGAGCAAAACTTTGACTTATTTCGCTGGCTATCTGGAAATTCACGACATGTCTTCCTGCCACAGTAGTTATTTTGCTAGTATGATCCAGAGTGTGACCGGGGTATTGACAAGACCTTAGGCTCGATTTCCGCCATTTCCCGGTCCCTTGGGGGCTCATTTTCCCGCACAGCGGCTTACAATCGAACCTAACAAGACCTTGGCGCTCGCAAAAAACCTGCCAAGAAGGTGTCTGTGCCTTGGGCAGATTGTCATTTTAGTGTTAGCCTGTGTACACACCGCCCCCCACCCCTTAGGAGAAGGAGCCCCTTCACCGATTTTTCCTAAGGGGAGGGAGGTCTGTACACAGGCTATTTAGTGTCTGTGCCTTGGGCAGATTGTCATTTCAGTTCCGAATACCTACTAAACCTCTACTCTCGCTAAAATGAGTTCATTCAGTCATTGACTTTGCTACGCTTAGACAAGTGACAGCTGGCTAAGTGCGACGTAATATCATTCATGCACTGTGCGACCAACACATTTTCCTCCACACCCCTAATGGGACCACACTCTGTCTTGACGATCTCTCGGAAAGAACAGCTTGATCATATGAAATAGATAATCCATTTTTCACAATTAATCTCTTCGGCGATTTCATTAACATAATTATATTTGAAACTGGCACCTGTTGCATTATAATTCAATTAGATTGAAACCAAAACAAGATCATCTTGGGAATACGGATGTTATACCCTAACAAAAACTAAAAACTGAGATAATCCCTTTTGCGTATATTCACCGAAAAAAGAAACTGTTTTTCCCGTTTCATTCTGCTACCGATAAACGTTTTAAAGACCTTTGAATGAAACTGAAATTTACAGCTAATTTGCCTTTTGCAAAGCTATAGATGGATTTTCTCTTAAAAAAAAAAAATTTAAGATAGAAAAAGTGTGGGGCATTTTTTTTTTATCATAGTGCCGTGTACAAAGATCTGATAAGCAAAAAAGAGTGCGCACAAATTTTATTGTGCTGACAAGAGGACTTACCTTGCAAGTTAACCATGTTAACTCTTATTTCATCGCGCAGAATGCAGGGACACAATTATTATGCATAATCAGCGAAGCGGCAAATTTGAATGCTGGCTGGCTAAGAAAAGCTCACAATAAGAGAAGAAAGGGTTCAAATTAGTGAGGTTGCGCTGATAAAACTTGCTTTCCCGCTTTCCAAAAGCCAAATCCTAAAAACGGTCTTTTTTAGTATGGAGTCCATTGTCGAAAGAAAATTTCTGAAAATTTACGCTGCGTTTTAAAAACCTACGCGCGGCAAATGAAAGATGGACCTTTTCTCGAACAGAATCCGCTTTAATTTTGAAAATCGGTTGAGTAGAACCACTATCCCTTTCACGTTGAAAACGTCTGGTACGAGTTGTGTTCGAAAATAGCCTGTCTCAAGCAAGCGGCCTATTGTCTCAAGCCCAAGAGTGAATAACAATGGTTGTCAAGACTAATACAACTAAAATTCGCCATGCGTACCCTGAATCGCCTGTGTCGACTTTTCTTCCCGGGGGGGGTACTCGCAGAAAAATTGGGTGGGGGTGTGCGGCCCGCATCCCAAAACCCTTACCCTATTTATGACCAAAATCTGCGATTTTCCCTACCCTATTTATGACCAAACCAAAAATTTGATACCCTATTTATGACCTGACCCTTAAATCAATACCCTGTTTCAGACCTGCCTTATAATTATTTCCCTAGTTCAGACCAATGTTAAAGGCAATGTTTATTTGCTTTTATTAGGTTAGGGGGACATGATAAGGAAGTAGCTTCTTCTAAAAAAGTGCATTCAAGACTACAGTGTAAAAATCGTTACCCTATTTATGACCAAAATGGCGGCAAAATAGCCAAAATCGATACCCAATTTATGACCAAAACGGCTGAAAAACCCTACCCTTTGGGGCCGCACATACCTATATAGCCCATATTAGGGAGTACCCCCGGGCTTTTCTTATGATTGCTACTTAGTCTGTTTGAGCTCTGTTAAGGAATGTAAACTTACTTACCCGCCGTTTTGGTTTGCATAAGAGCTAAAAACCTTTTAAATACAGAAGCAAAACATTACAGACCGTTACACTGAGCGTCGGCTTCTGTGCGCTAAACACTCAATGCAGTGTGTTTATTTATACCCTGAGAACAGAGTCTCCTTCGATCTTCCTAGATAAGTCGGAAAGAGGAAGGAACCCCTGCCGACATCGTCAACAATTCATATTGAGCATGCTCCAAATTCAAATTTTTCTGCGACGTCAATCAAACCGTTACCGTAGCATCCACTGTGTTTGTCAGCAAATGTAAATGTCAGCGGGAACGTACCGGTTCGTTTTTACCCTTCCGTAGCTGTGTTTCCTCTGCATTTGGAAGCTTTATAGGAACAATTTCACCTTTGGAATCTAAACTTGCCATGTTTCAGTGTAAAAAAGATAAAAAAAATCTTAGAGCTAAGGTAAAACTTACGGTGCTTTTCAAAAACAAAAGCATCTAACCTTGAAACACAGAGACACACAAAACGGATCGAAATCCACCAATCACAAATCACGAACGACGACCTTTTGTTTCCTAAGAGGTTCGCTAAGATGTATAAAAGGCGAGAAAGCGAAGAAAGCGCCGCTTCTTCAGATTTTGATTGACGTCGAAGAAAAACACAAAATCCAAAGACGTTTTTGGCATCGCAAGTCGGGTGTTATCCACAAACAGCTGTAAAGGCATCGATCACTTAAATGCAACATGGATTCTGTAGCCGCATGATCTTGTTTTGAATTACGGTTATCGCAAACACAGTAGAGTAAGCATAGATATTGTTTCTTAAATATTATTATTTTTATTCAAAACCCATTTGTTTATCCTTCCAAAAACTTCGCGTAACACTTACTGGATTGTGAATCCGTTCACGCAATAAAATCGGCTAAGTACGTGGTTAAATCCAAAACAAAATCCATCTCGAATCTGGGTACATTTTGCAATTTTCGAAACTGAACGTTCAATCTATAATTTTCTCAAAATTCCCGCATGAAATTGAAGCGGTAGCTATTTGTTTTTCTATGACAAAGGAAATATCGAAGCGACTCTGCTAGGAGGGTAGTTTATTTACGACACAATCAAGATCTCGCTCGCGCAAAGATAATTCGACATTTCCTCATTCGTTCGGCTGTGGTTTAACTTTTTTTACCGAATGAACTGCCAATACAATAAAGCAAAAGCGAGTTTTTAAAAGGTGGCTGCGAAATATGCGCATATTTGCGATTTGCGAATAAAAGGAGAAACAATAGCGAACTGTCCCCTTTGTTTAGTTTGCCACCTACATCATATCATATGAGCATCCGAGTGCGTTCAAGGCAACCAATCGTCGAGGCGCTTTCATAGCGTCCACGCATGATATGACAGATCTACAAACTTTGTTGAACTGGAAGTAAATGTCCCGAGAACAATAGGCATTCTGCGCGATGTTTTATTGTTATCAATAACTATCATTTATAAAAAATGATGATAATATAATAAAATTGATCGATACAACGCTATTGTTTTCTAATCGACCGTCCCTCTTTAGGAATGCGTGACAAGCCGCAGTAATTGAATTATTTTAAGCCACGCAAACATTTATTATGATATATTATTCAGCTGCTTCTTCCTCGCTAAAAAAAAAAACAGACCTCAGGGGATTCGAAGTGATACTTCGTGTCTTTCTGTGGAAAGGAGAGTTATGTTTCTCCTTAGAAATGTGAAATGTAAGGATTATGTTTCATGTCAAGTTATCTAAGGCTAATTTGCATACGGAGAATGAAGTCACGTTCATCGTCGACAAGAAAAAAAAAAACAAGAAAAAGCGATTACTAAGTTTTCTCCACATGTTTTCGAAAGTCCAACATTTAAAGGGTCTAATGACATTTGCTGATAACTAGAAACGTTAAAGCTGTGGAAATTAGTCGATCCGATGCAGACCGTTACAATTCCAGCTTTGCTGTCAAAATGGCGAATTTTGGAACATTAACAGAACTTTGCACGGCATTCAAAGAAGAGTGCCCACAAATTTTATTGCATTAAGAAGTAGACTGGTCCTAGTACTTCTGTTTTATCATAGACTTGCTTCTGGGTCAGGTGCCACTTTTGCGAAATTACCGTTCAGCTCTAGTTATGCAAATTACTTTTCCTTCTGAGCAAATTGAAGGTCATTTTAAAAAAATCATATCTCAGCCAACTTTTTACAGAATGCAACCATTAAACCTTGAAACTATTAACCAGAGTTAAAACTTTTGTGTGTAAAATAATCAGCTTATTCGGCTCTGTAAGGTAAGTTTTCAAGAGCCCTAAAGTTTCACCAAAATCGCACCACTTCCGACGGCAAACTGGCTGGTTTTAGGTGACCTAGAAAATCTTTCTGTAAAATAGAGAAAAAAATGGTTTGGTCCAAATAAATGTGATATTTCTTCATGGGATAGGATAGTTATCTTCCACTGAAAAAATCAGGGCAATCCGTGATAGACCAAAATTTTCCTTATCGGTTCTTACGCGGACAGCCTCTTAAGTGCCAAGCAAAGACGACTTCTGGTAGACGTCGGCCAAGGAATAAAATCACAACCACGGCCCGTGAGTTAACAAAGGCAGAAAAAGACAAACGTTTTGCTTGCAGAGAATTTAGCACGTCAAAACCGAAGATCCTTTAACTTACCATATGGTGGATACTTGCCCTCTGCTTTGGCTTTCGTGCTCGCGGGCTGAAGTGTGAAGACGTTGCTTTGACGCGAGACAGAGAAAGAGACGACGATATTCCTATGTGGAAACATGAATGAGGGTTCAGAACCCGTCAAGGCCAAGGCATACCCTACAGTGTTCGCTCTTTTCATCCCACCGCGAAAGCAACTGGAAATAAACGTTGTCCGATTAAAATCTACAAAGAATTTGCCGAGAAAATGCAGGGTTGTAGTGCAGAGTCTCCAACCACCCGGGGCGAAAAACGTACATTTCACGCCTTCTTGACGCAAAAGTTGCAGAGAATTTTGGTCACCGAAGATCAGAAAGTATCGTTTCCTTCGAATCGGCCTCGTATGATCATCAACGGCGAATGTCGCTTGCGCTGACTCGGAGCCGCTCAACCAAATTTCCACTCGAACAGAAACATCTCTACTCTTCCACCGCATAAGTCACAAATGATCAGTCTGCTCAAGTGCAGAGGGGATCTGATTTCTTTGCGGTTGCAGCGATTGGCAGCTTCAAAAGCTACACATTCAACATTCAGCTGTTAGAGTAGCTTTGCAGCACTGAAACCAACAACACTCCGGACCAAGCGATCAAGGGTCTGTGTGAGTAATACTGAATAGGCTGAGTGACGGCGAAGCCTTTTTTGTTGCCTTTTTCTCGACTTCTTTTTGATTTGAGTTCTATTTTAGAAGCTTGAGCAGCTTTTTGCCGCTCTTGTGAGTTCGACTGAGAATTTTGACATCTACTCATCAAACTTGTAAATCAACAAAATGATGTTATTATTGAATTTGTCCATTCGGGAACGAGTACGCTTCATTTACTAGTTGGTCTTTCTTCCCAGAACATTTCACCCGTTTCGCCAGGAACAAAAAGGCGAACTGTTGGCTAAAAACATAGCAAGAACAGCAAAAACAGAATACACAAGGTCGAGGTACGTGTTATCAGCTGAGCCGAAGGCCGAGGCTGATAACACTTACCGAGAACTTGATTATTCAGGATATCAGAAAAGCTGAATATAACAATTTTTTTTATTGTACATTGAAAGAAAAGCGATGACGACAAACACACCATCGCAAGGAACCTGAATTGATATAGTCAGATTAGTCAACCTGACTAATCTGTAGGTTGTGCTGATTTCCAAAATAAGCTGTAGGCTCTTAGCCACTGAGAAGTCGGATAATGAGTGCAATGTATAATAATCGTTAAATACTGGCCCCGTTCTTTATTTTGCATTTCTTTCAACCTCGACTTCGTCTAGGGCAATTATAAAAACGCAAAAAAAAAAACTGGGAGCAATATCCAGCCAAGACCGAACACTTGGTGAATACGCATTTAATGATACAAAACTTTGTGAGTAATAAGTAATAATGATAAACAACCTGTGTCTTTCCATTCATATCAAAGTTTGCCATCAGTTGCTGTGATTGAAGTAGATTATGTGAATTTATTTCGCTTTTCGATATTGCTAGCTATAAGTCTACATATTAATGAACGCCACTGTTGGTTATTTTAAGATGCCCCAATGACGCTCAGCTCACTTATTAAATTAGAAGATTTTCTACACGTCATCACGATACACCTTTACTATAGTGAAACGATTTTATGCTATTGATAATAACTGACCTTATATTAACAATACCTTCAACAATCAACCGCACGTCATCATACAGATCGGAAAGCCCAAAACCTGCTCTTATAATGCACAGGTAATAGTTTGCATCTTGTTTGCTAATGGCATTAAGGGAAAAGAAGACTTCACCAGACTTCAAGTTTCCACTACGACTTCCAGTAACACGACTAACATATCCGGGATTTAAAAACGTTTGCGCACCATTTTTGTTTAAGGACAATATTTTTCCATTTGATTTAAAATCATTAGTCACACCAGCTCTCTTTATTCCCCAATCAACTGCGCCCACATCTCCAGAAAATGTCCATGTGAAGTTGACAGATAAACCAACTTTGCTCTTTATGGTCCGTCCTTGATATGATTTTGTAAATGTTACAGCAGCTAAAATAAAACATATAAATCTGACTGAATTTATGTAAACATGGCTTCAGTGAGCGTCTACAGGTCCAATGCTATGTATGCTCTTGGTACCAAGACTTTGACCCTCCCCAACCAGGACAGTGGGTGAAAGTCTGCGCCTCCCACTCAGCTCTGCAATTATCATGATAATCATTATCAGCAGAGGCCTGATTGAGCTGGCTCGGGCAAAGTACAAACAAGGTGCTTGCCAGTCAAAGCCTCTAGTGAACACTGCTGGGGTTGTGCCAAAATAGCCCCCTTCCTACCCTACTTTTTTTGCCCCTCCAGGCCTGATTCACACTCACCTAGTATTAGGGCAGTCCCTGGGCTATCCAGCTGTACCGACCAAGACGAGGCCTACTCTGGGACCTTAAGTCGCCGTAATTTTAGGCGACTTAAGGCGATTTAAGGCGACTTTAGGAAAATTTGGTCAAAATGTTGTGCGACTTGAGGCGATTTAAGGCGACTTAAGGAGAAAAAGGTGACATTGAGGTGAATTACATGTTAGTGAATATGTTGCAGTTAATTTTTTATTTCATTAAATTTTTAGTTTTCCTTTGTTTTTAAATTCATTAGCATACATACTCAGAAACAATGGGAAAATAAAAATTAACTACAACATATACAAAATTGAAATCTAATGCTAACACTGCCTCTCTAGGGACACAATGTCATAGTGTAAGTTAATTCAGTCTTGAAGACATCTGCATTAGTCTTCCAAATTTTCAACAATCTCAGCTACCTAATATTTTGAACATTAACCCTTTAAGCCCCAAAATCCACATATATTGAAGTGTCTTTTTTTCATAATTTGACAACAAACATTCAAGTAATTAATTTAAAACATCTTGGCAGTTTGCTCTGCCAATGTTTGTCCTCACACGTTTGGCAAAGAGGGTGTTTTTCCAATTGAATTCAAAATATAAAGTTGGTAGTTCTTGCCGTATATATTTCTCCTTTCCTGACTCAGTCAAACAAAACACTTCCAAATACTTGCTTCGCTAGTGAACTGTAGTCTCTTCCCATGGTCTTTTTGGAAACTTTCCAGTAGGGTTGATTTCATGAGCGCATTTATGCACCAGCTGAAACAACTAAGCTTAGCTTCAACCAACCTCGCTCTGTTCCACACGGCAGCATCATGCGTCATGTTTAAACCAGTGGCAGTACCAAGTGTAAACGTTTCCATTGTTAACTCAGAAACTTCTTTTAAATGGAGATCTTCAAACGAAAACGCAACGTACGTACAATTGACAACAACAAGAGCGCATTTCTATCCGCCATTTTGTTTCTCCCAGAATTCCACAGTCGCAAGCTAATTTCGATTGTTTCTCGGTTCTGTACGTTCCGCCCTCTCCCCGCCTCCAGACGAGCTAGTCAGGTGACTAAAACACACTACGTTCAGGCGGCCATAACTTGCGGGAAAGAGCTGTATTATTTCGCTTTTCTACGTTCTTCATAAATAATGGTCGATTACATCAAATCGTTTGGCAGGAAGCAATCACGACAACATAAACAAAGCCCAGTTTTACGAACCTTCAATGTACAAAGCTTGAATTTCTGTCTGCAAGCAGAGGAGGAGTGAACGTCTTCCCACAATGCTTTGCGATTCAAAGTAATATATCAACATTTTCGTGACGTCATCATTCGGCTCAGACGCTTGAACAAGTCAGAGCAACATGGCGAAATGTGTTGTTAGAAATTCGCGCCTGTCACAGATCCGCTACGTTTCAAAGGACGATTAGTCTATTCGGCCTTTTGCTCAGGGATGCATTGAACTTGTTTTTCGTAATGCTCGTGTAATTTTTTGTGAAGGGTATAACAAAAAGGAAGGTTTCGTGATGCCACTCGAAACGTCCCGAAGTCTATGTAGTTGATTTCCTCAAACCTGGTTTGGTTTCTGGAATCACTAGCTGTTAAATAAAGGTAAGTCGAATGTACCATTCTTTGTTTAATTATAGAACACTCCTTCCTTGGAGATTTTTGTCGTTCGTTATGTGTTGTTACTCAACAAGATTCTCGATCTAGGCTTGCGCGAGTTGCACGCAGTACCTTACTTGCTTTGTCAAGCCACTGAAATAAAAGGTAACTCACGTTTCCAACATTCCTTTAGTCTACAGATCCTTAGAGAAGACGATGATCCTGGCAGTACTTCCTTTGTTGTCCGTAAAATGGCGCAAGTTCCATTCATGTAAACATTGATGTCACTTCGTAATTTACTGTTTACTTTTCAATAGATCTCTATATTAAAGAATGTGCTATTTGCTGCAAACGTCTTTTGTACCGAATTATATTTTTTGCCTCTGGTGTTTTTGTTATACTTTCATTTTATACATGAAAGAATTGTTCCTACCTTCAGCTAGCTTTCAACCATAAAAAGCAGATGCCTGTTTGGCCTGTATACTGTCCAAACCATAACTTAAAGGGCAACTGTCGGGAAAATTGACCCTGTTCTTTAAGCTTTCTATGGTTTCCTTATGGCCTGTAATATACCTCTCTGGTGAAATTTCCGATATATCTACGAACCTGATTTTTTTATGATTTTTCGAAAACTCACTTTTTGCCGCCATTTTGAAAACACTCGGATCTCAGATCGATCACGTGATTTTACGTCACAAGTGTGGAACACGAATTTTTTTGTGAAGATTATAGGAGAAAAACGCACCACATTTCTCTTGCGAATAAAGGAGAAATAGAGCCTCTACTGTTACATTAACGTTCGGGAAATGCATTTCAATGATGGTTCCAGTTTCTTACAATACCTGGGCATTAGATTCGGTGATTTAGATTTTTTTCTGTGTTTTTTTCAGTAGTGTGACTTTGAGACATATCGACCCGAGGTCAATATTTGTCAACAGCTGAGCTAATAATCTGCACCGTACAATTCAAAGAGCATTATTCCTAAAGAAGATTTAAAATTCTGAAGCAACCATTAATGTTACCTGATGAGTGTTGATGCCCTTCATTCCTCATAAATGACTTTATTTATTCCCGGGAAAAGCTCCGCGTATCTTTGAAGAGAACCCGGTCACGGACCGCTCTAGACAACCCGACCTGATTCATGATACTGACCTTTTGTGTTTTGATTTTAGTGTGTTGTAATCTTGTCTGAAATCTGCTGTACCATCCATTTAGCCCTGCTCCTAATTCACTCCTCGCCGAAAGTCCCGATTTCATGATCAATAATATTTTGAATGATCGCCTAATGTAAGAATCTTATCAAGTTATTCGAGATAAGCTCTCGAGATTGAGGCGTCAATCTATTGCGAAACCTGTAGACTATAAAATTGCCGTGATAGCACGCGTGCCTCGCTTCTTTTGCAATACTTCTCTTTGGGACACAAGTAGGAAAAAAAAAATCAATTACCCATATTTAAATCCCCGTTGCGGTACTTATGGAAAACTCCTCCAAGGACAAAAAAACGGCCACGGGACCGAAAAAGAAGAGAGAACCCGGCAAGCGCTGCACGGTTATGTTTTGTAACAACACCAACAAAGACGGAGTAGGTCTCCACCAGTTTCCCACCGATGAACCCTTTCGGCGCCAGTGGATCGCTTTTGTCTTAGCAAAGAGGACCGACGACTGGACGCCGGGATCTGGTAATATTTGCAGTTCCCATTTTACGCCAGACTGTTTTGAAGGAATGGGTGCGAAACTCGCAGGGTTTGCTAAGAAGGCTTATCTGAAGAAGACGGCCATCCCAACAATTCAGGCCAATCCCACCCCTGAACAAATCCAGGAAGCGCGCTCTCTTAAGAGAAAACGTCCATCTGCGGCAACGCGAGGTGATTCAAAGCGGCAAGTTCAACAAAAGGGGGAAATAACGCCAAAAAGTCGTCCAAAAAAGTCTAGTCGAGCCTTGTCTAAACTTACCGCTCATAGGGTGAGTATTAATTTTTGTTTTTTTGTTTAGATACCTTGGCATGAATAAAAACTTTCTAAAATATCATCAAGATAAACGATCATGATCAAAACGCAACAGTGTGCCTTCAAGATACAATAATACAATTTACTGAAATCAGGCAAAAGATTATGGAGCACATGCACCAACAGAAAACTGAAAAAAAAAAAATCTTTGTTTATGATAGCTAGTGGCAGATTATAGGAAGACGCGAGAAAAAGAAAAGACCACTGAGAAAGTACCGGGACCATCCCCAAGTGACAACAGACAACCACCAATTAACAATCAAGCTGAAGTTCCCGAAACAACGGATCTGGCACAGCCCTCAACGAGTGCATCTGGTGACACTTCGTGTTTAGAGACTGGTGCAGGGCAAGAAGAAGGAAGTCAGGCTCGGGAGTTTCAAACGGCTAACAAGGGAACTCAGAAAGGACTCCGCCGCCCAATCTGTCGCAGCAAAGGTAGACTTTAATCTTAATTATATCTTGAAAAATAAGTGTGTTGACAAAGGGTTTAGCCATCTTTTCAAACATTCTTTGCGATGCGACTATCTTTGGTGATTAAGGTTTTTAATCATAGGTACCCAGATTTCTCCAAAGTCCAACACAACGGTGGAAAATGGGTCACAGTGCAACATAGCAGAACTTCCTCCGTTAAAACTGCTCTCAACTTTACGTAAGGAGGCAGAAAATCAAACAGAGTATACACTTACGCCGGAGCTACCCGCGTCGTTTGAAGACGAGTTGTTTGAAGACGTTGACGTTGATGATGAAGAGTACAATCCCTACTTAACATCCGACGAAGATCAAGACGAAGGTGGTAGTGAAGATGAAAAAGAATCTGGAAAGTCAAAACGGTAAAAAAAAGTAAAGATGAACTATTTACACAAGCCGTTGATGAGTTTCATAAGCTGCAGTAACGCCGGCTTGATTTAAACTCCGCACCACTCTATATCCCTCCTTTTTAACATATCCGCCCAAAGAAACAACTATAACCCCTATTTCTATACTCTCCGTTTAATATACTGAATGTTTCATTCTTGTTGTTGCTAATATCATGCAGATCTATTGGAGAAACGCAAAAGTTGAAGCCACATGAGGAAAGGAAATTTATTGTCTTCGAAACAAATCTGTTGAGCTTGTTTGCTTGTTGCCCCATCTGTGCTGGCCACGCAGAGGCTAAAATTTCGAAAGAAATCGGGACTATGATTCAGGTCCACTATCACTGTACGGAAGAAAATTGTCAGTTCAGCAATGTGTGGTGCAGCCAGCCGTTTTCTAATGGAAAGATGCCAGTTGGGAACTTGTTGCTTTCTTCTTCAATTCTTTTAACGGGTAAGTCTCCCTATTGTTATCTTTTTTTTTAGTTGCGTTCTAGGCGTGGTCCGTTGAAGACCTAAAGACAGGAGATGCGGCTACTAAATGGTCTTGAACAAAATGAACAGAGTATGACAAATCTGTAACTAGTTCCTGCAGTAGAAAGTTCAATAGGGTGAAGGTCGTTGTATTTTTTTTCCTTTCGTCACAGGAAATTCTGCCGCTAAAACCTTACGGATGTTTAATATTATGAACGTGGCGTGCATATCAGAGAGGACATACTACCGTCACATCAAATCGTACGTAAATCCCACTATTATACAGCAGTGGAAAGCACATCAACAGCAGCTCTTCAATAGTCTTAGCAGTCAGGACAACGGACTGGTTCTGGCTGGCGATGGAAGGTGCGATTCCCTGGTTACTCCGCGAAATTCGGTTCCTACACGTTACTCGAACAGCAAAAGAACAGGGTGTTGGACTTCCAACTAGTTCAGGTCAGTGATTCTAGTATCTAATTCCAATGTCTCCCCATTTTTTTTAAAAAATAACTATGTGATTTCCGGTGTTGAGGCAAAATAAAAATATATCGAAACGTTTGATCCTTATTAGAGCAACGAGGTGCGGAACAGTTCTTGGATGGAACATGAGGGTTTAAAACGGGCCATTCAAGTCGTTTCTAATGCCAGACTGCATATAGCGGAGATCATCACCGACAGACACAAGCAGAATACCGCTTGGATTCGAACGAATTTGCCTGACTCTCGACACTATTTTGACATATGGCATGTGTCTAAAGGTAATGAGGGCTAAAAAGTCAACCCCAATAGTTTACTCGAGGTAACAATCGCATCCACACAAGGACTAAAATAGTTTGTAATACATTCTATCCAGTTAAGCTCCAGTTGTCGCGTATGGAATAATTCGATTCTGACATATATGACCCTCATTCTGAACAGGTTTATGCAAAAAGATTGACAAATTAGCGAAAAAAAAAGAGTGTGAAGATGTCGGTGAGTGGCGACAGTCTGTATCAAATCATATGTATTGGTGTGCTGCCACGACACCAGATGGTAATGGGCGTATGATGCAGGAAAAATGGAAAATGTTACCCCTGCACATCCAGAACATTCACGTCAATCAGAGCAGCGAACTCTACAAAGAATGTGGACATGGTGAACTAGAGGGAGAAGCAAGGGATAGACTTTGGCTTCAACCAGGTTTGTAGACAAAAAAAAAATGGCATCCAGTAACTCCTCTATTGCCATCTCAAGTTATAGAATAGAAGGCTACATTTTCTGTCAGAATCAAGGAAAACCTTTTAATTAGAATAAGGCCAGTGTCATTAACACTGCTTATAGGACAGAAAAGGTGTCCACTAATTCACTAATCAGGAAATTAAAATGAACCACCCTAAAAAAAAAACGACAAAACGTTATAACGTGACAAGAAAAAAGGCACATATATACAAACATTTACAAACAGTCACCTTTATGTGCGGGAATTTTGACTACAACTAGGTCCTCAATTTCACAGGCTCAACTGCTGCTGTCAAGCTCGAGGAGCTGGTAACAAAGCCCCAACTGCTGAAGGACATTTCTCAGCTGTCCCCTAAGTACCAGACTTCCGCCCTTGAAGCCAAACATAGCCTTGATCTACACTTCGTCCCAAAACATACCGCTTTCTCGTACTGGGGGATGTACACAAGGTTTGTGTCTCTAATGGATTGATAGTTACCATAATAAACTTTTGAGATTGGTCTCTTGTTTTCCTTTAATTTTTCTTTTTCAGTATTATTTTCTTCTTCTAAGCTATGGAATCTTTCCTTTTACTTAAAGTTAGCCTAATGGTTCTTTCCCATCCCCTCTAAAAATATGAACTTTTCAGACTGTGCCTTTCTGCTCTGCACTACAATGAAAATGCTGACAGGATGCAAGCTGTAACTGTAGATGGGAGACCACGCTATGCCATCAGGTTTCCTAAAGCCAAACACGGGGGATATTCAGTGAGAGAAGTTAAAACAAAAGCAACCTATGGTGGGTAAATAGTTATAACATAGCCTGTGTAAAGTCCCCCCCCTGTCTTGGTAAAAAATGGAGAAGGGGCCCATTGTCAGCTTTTTACTGAGGGGAGGGGAGTCTGTACACAGGATAAAAATTAAATTGCTGTTCTGTATTTTTTGAGATCATTTGTTAAGGCAACCATTATCTGCAGCCACATTTGCTTATGGTAAAAATGATTTTAACATAGCACAGTAACCTGTGAATTTCATGGCACACAGATAGATATGACATCTAAATGAAAACATTTCAATAACTAAACTTGAGGTTCACTCCTACAGTATTACGTACCTTTTTATTTTAGGTTATTGCTCAAGTACCATAACCAAAGTCTTTGCCGACTATGAAGACAACTCAAGGGCCTTAAAGACCTACATGTTGAACCTGCAAGTGAATACCCCACCACCACTTGCTGCATCCATAGAGAGACCCAACAGAGAGGAGGCAATAAATTCTTTCATTAGCAGATACAATCGTTCCAGCCTAGTCAACTAAAGACTAGCATGCCCTTCAGTATGGAATGCTTGAAAAAACTATTTTAGGCTAAAAATTATGTCACTACTGTGACTAAAATGATCATGTGCTATATGGTATTCACTTGAACTGGACACCTGGAAGAAAACTATCCAAGAAAAAAGGTTTTTGAAAACAGAGGATTCTGAATTTTGTTTCAACAATGCAAACGTTGAAACCTTTAAAACAGTTTGAACTCAACTTACCTCTCAGGAAAACAGCTCTAAAATTCATAAATGTCATTGGTCCATTGCAAAACAAAATTAATAATTAGATAATCTTCTTCCAAGTACCCTGGTTCAAGTAGTTGGACTGTAAACTGTGAACAACTTTGTGTATCGTTGTTGTCTAATCATTTATTAATATGGAAGATAGAAACAAGTCAATTGAGAATACTATTTTTTAAAATGAGGATTAACCATCCAATCACAAGCCTTGAGCAAATAGAAAGAATAATTATGTATTTCCCACACAGCACTGGGCTTTAAAAAACCATGCAGTCTGAAAGTGAACTTTCTAGTTCCACCAGTCTTTGTTTACACTTCCATGCTACATATTTAAGAGTAAGGGGCATTTTGTTTGCTGGTAGCAACCATTTTCATGGCAACCAAATATCCCTACGCCAATCTTCCAATGGTAAGTGAGAAAATTACATTATAATATTCTATAGACAGTAGGGTTATTTGAAATATATTTTATATTTATTCATCTGCATATTGAAATCCTGTATACTCCATCTCATCATCCAGCCTTTCAGGCTCCTGGAAATGAGCCCGTACGCAGTTTACTGCACATGATGGTAAGGGAACTCTCATGTCCTTTCCAAGGGAGCCCCAGCACCACCTTACCAATTGCCTGTACGCAATGTGCCTGCTTTTTTTATGATCTGATCCCTCATATGCCGAGGCACCATACTGCTGCTTGTATTGCAGCCATGCAGCCTGTAACACCCAGTAATTCAGGCAAACTGCCTGGAATCCTGGGTGTTCCACGATGCACTTTGGAGGCTCCTCCATATTTTCAACGTCAACTGCCTCCAAATTTTTACGCTTTACAACATCCACCTCTTGGCAGCAGATGTTTTCCTCCTCCCGCCACATTTTTTGGCAGTAGCCACACAAGCACCTTGCAAACAATCAATAGCAGTTATGATTTTTCATGATCAAAAGTGAATGTCTGGCTAATGAAAGGCAAAAAGACAAGTGTTGAATATTGACATTTTCATTCTGCACCCGAAAGTTATCAAACTGCCTTATTCATACTTTAATGTTTATGGCCTTATTAAAGTATCTCATGTCCATAACCACAAAATAATCAAGAACCAAGTTCCTGTGGCTATATCAAATCAAATGCAATATTATTGTGAATAAAGTTACACAACCACTATTATGCTCAAGACAAAAACATAAGTGATTATAAATATGTCTCAGCCTCGAATATTATATACCGAGAAGAAGAAACCTTTATGCAAGCAGTTAATATTCACATGGGCGCATAAAGACCAACTTTTTAACATCAGGATACACAAAAGCTAGAATAATGACTTGTTAGACACATTCATTGATAGAACGAGACACATTAACGATTAGTGAACGACTTGTAAGGACAAAACTATACAGCGCCTTTCAAATGTTATGTGCACTGTATAACAACTACATGAACATGAACAGCTGTCAATGGGGTAACGATGTAGAAATGTAAATATATTTACTACAGTCAACAGATTACGAGAGCGTAGTTTTGGCAAGAACCTATGCTTGTAGCAAAACCACTAATAAACCAGAAATTGTAAAAAAATACACTGAAGCAACTTGCCCAGATTATCATTTCGAGCAGTCCGTTCCAAGGGAAAATTACGCTTTCGAGCAATTGTGCATGTGAGAACCATTCAAAATTATGAACACTCCGATTTCCGAAAAAAAGGTGCGTGTTTAATTAGTCATTTTCCTTTTACAATTTAGATAATCCATAACATTGACGAAATCGAGCGATATTTGGATCGCATTGTACATAACAAATGTTATATACCATCTGGACACTCACCATTCTTCACTATCGAGATCGCAGCGACGCGTGGCAGGCTCGATGTTTTCAGTCGACTCACGAACTTCGTCAGCCTCGTGAGATCTTCCAGGCGGCTCAAAACGCCAGGGTTGAATCCCTGTGAAGGGCTGCCCTCTACTTTCGGGTGCTTCGCATTCTAAAAGTTCTTCTATATCTGAATAATCGGACGAAGAGGTAGAGCTATCGCTCAAAGAACTAGAGTCGGCCATATTAGAGATCATTTGTTGTTCCACACTTGTGACGTAACGTCACGTGATCAATGAAATCGAAGCGTTAATGGCGGAAGATCGAGTGAGCGGCAAATTGGACACTTTCAATCGCGATTTCTGACCCAAATAGATCGCTTAAGATATATTTCTTGGTGGTATCACAATAAGGGAAACATTTGCAAGGTTTTCCCGAAAAATGATGTCCTACGCGACAGTTGCCCTTTAAGATACATCCCTATAGCCTCTTACACATAATTGGCAATTTTGGATGGGAATGTGTAAAGTTGTCTTTGCTGCTATTGATGTACTGAAGAGGCAGTGGTAAGTTCTTCGCATAACCCCACATATTTATTATGAATACATCTTTAAACTCTGTGCACTTTAAACTACTCGCAAGAAAAAGCATGAAATTGTTGAAAGTATAATAAATGTATGGGATAATACAGAAATCTTACTGAGGCAGTTCACAGAAGAGTGAAAAAAATTTACTTACTTGTTTACATACTGTTTTGGGGTTTGAGAATATCATCTAGCCTCTACAGTTTACCATAAGCTGCTGCTTATAAGTCCTGGGCATATGCATCTTCGTAAAGGGTTTCAGAAGGGGTTATAAACGGAGGGGCTTCTAACCGGAATAGAAAAAGCACTTTGAAATAAGCTATAGCTGTGGCTGATAAAAACACATTTTGTACTCAGTGGTTTTTGATTAAGCTTAAAAATGTCACAATAAATCAAATTTAATTCATTACATTATTTTGGAACAGATACTGGAGGGGGACTTATATCTGGGGAGCTTATAATCAGATGTGTATTTCGTTTACAGTCTTATAAGCGTTATTTGTGGCATGTTATTGAACATCTCACCGCCACTCCTAAGATAACTAGCCTCTACTCTTATTAAATGGCAAACTCAATGATAACCTCAATTCGTCTTATACCGTACACATGATCAAAATAACCTGCAAGAGCATCCGTTTTTTTGGCTCTAGTTTCACCCACCGCGAAAAACTGGATGAAACTAGAGCCAAAAAACCAGGTGCTCTCCCAGGCTATTTTCTATAGGCTATAGAGAAAACAGTGTAGTCTGAGTCATAATATGGTTTCTGTAAATTTATTATTCATATTTATTTTTTAGTACAAAACATGTGAATATAAAAGAAACTTTATGGCAACTCTATAATAAAGACCCAGAAATAAAAATAATTTTTTTAACAGTCATTTTGCTCAAGATTAAATTAAAGGCTTTGAACCAATGAAAAAATGATTGTTAACTTTATAAATTATTCATTTGTTTAAATGGAAATGAGCCAACTAACCTCAGAATATCTTTCCTCTAAAAAGCCTGGTTGGTCAGTCATCTTTCAAGATGTTGTAGTGTTCTCAACCCGGGACAGGTATAAAAGAATTAGACTGAAACCTGAAAAGGTCGGAGCTATTTACCATGGTGGGTTCTGCCTTGGAGAACTCATTTGTCTATGTGTCTTTTGTTCAGGGCCATTTTGTACATCGGCAAGTGCACTTTTATAGCTTTTGTATAGTTGTAAAAATGCGAGTGATCCTGTCATCACAATTATTGTGCTATATTTGCATTGGCCGGCCATGGGACTATTGAAAAGGAAAACTATCACCGCCAGGACATAACACTCTTTGTGGAGAGTAACTGGATGGATATTGATACAAAAATGCCTCTAAGATGGTACTTTCTATGCCATGTAAAATGAGGTAACAAAAAGATCCATCCATACATTCTAAAATCTATAATCCAACTGAGTCTGGTGTGCATCATCACTTTGATATGTAGCAACCACTAATCAAGAGCATCACTGATTTCATACACTTGAAGGTTTCTCTAAAAATGTAAATGAGATAAACACCTCAATCACAAAATATATAAAAATTATTTGGCAATAAAACAGTTTAAAAAAATACTAGAAAAGCCATGAAAGCCATTCCTTTTTCACCTTTATGCATCCAAAGAACTGACATCTTATCAAAGAGACCCATAGCAAGATTTCAAGATTTGAAGACCTTCTATAATTTTTTTTAAATAAGGATAGATTTTAATTTTAATCACTTTGTTATTTCTTTGGCATTGGCTACCCTGCTTTATGGTAGAGCAAATGAAATTGAAATGATTGAAGATTTGGCGCAGGTAACGCAAGGGAATGTGAGATGTTTTCATAATTTATAAGCTTAATTAAGTCTATCTTCTCTTCACTCAATACTAGTTTAAGTGGAATCAAAACTGTATAATAATATACTGGGAATGTTTGAAGTATCTAACAGTGTTCAGATTAAGCCATTTTCCTTAAAAATCGGAATCATAAACAAAAAAAATCCTTCTTTCAGAGTCTCCGCATTTCCTGAGTGAAGGCCTACTCTGGGACCTAAAGTCGCCTAAAGTCGCCTTAAGTCGCCTTAAGTCGCCTAAAGTCACCTTAGGTCGCCTTTAGTTGCCTTAAGTCACTAAATCATTCAAATCTTAACGAGGTTCAAATTGTCTTGTAGTCATTATGTTTTTAGTTTTCTACTTCCAGAATGCATGATTTCTCATAAAGTGTGTAATAACCCGTGTTCAATAATATTAGCCATAGACCCACCTCACCCCCACAAAAAAACTCCCACGGTGACTTAAGACCCATTAATTTCTTCTCCAGCCCTCTAATTTATACATTTAGTTACTTCACACAATTTACCACATGTAATAAT